GCAGACCTTACTTTGAGGGTGAGGTGATGGACGCGGGCTCCGGCCGGACCCGCACAGAGCAACACCAGCCCCAGCACCACCACAGTAAGAGCGGCGGGAAGGCCGCAGGCCGCCATCTTTACTCCAACATCAGCATCCTGTTCCCGCGGCACTTCCGGGAGCGGGGTGCGCTGGGAAGGTCACGTGATCAGCAGTGGGCGGGGCTGCTTGGGACACACCCTGCAGGCGGCCCCGCCTCGCGGCCTTCCCGCGCCCTGCCCGAGATGCCCGCACGTGTCCCAGCCGTGCCTGCTGACCACGTGACGTCCCCCGGCCCGCCCTGCGCTGAGCTGGGCTCGGGCGTCGTGCCTGCAGCCCGTCCTGGGGAGCGGCGCTGATGGCGAGCAGTCCGACCCGCTGAGCGTTTCTGCTGAGCGCTGGGCTCCGTGGTTCGTTTTAAACATCTCTCTATATGTAACAGAAGGTTTTCTGCTTCCTTAGTGGGGTAGCTTAGGAACTACTGAGCTATTTGATCTCCGTGGTCCTACTTGAAGCTACATGCAGCCCAGACTTGGCTTCAGTCAGGTCTGCGTTGCTCAGTTACACGAGCAGCAGGCAGCCTGCCAAGGGACAATGAAGGCAGCCTTCAGACAGACTTACCCACTGCTGAAACCATTTCTGAAAGATGTGATCCGCTTAGCAACGTGATAAAACGCAGCTTCTGTGTTCTGTCAGCTCTCATCACTCCGACGTTTTTCCTTCCAGAGCAAGCAGTGGCAGCTGTGCAGCTTTCCTGAGCCAGGTGTGCAACGGAACAGCCGAGCAGTGAAGTGTACATCAGGGTGCATGGGCAGAGAAAAAATCCTGACCCTTGTTATAACACTTACATGGAAAGTCCCATCTTTGTTCAGCAGCGATTCAGATGTCACTCTACACGTTACCTCCTATTTAATCTTCCCTTCTTTCTCTCATTCTCTTAGGTAATAGAATAAACGCAGATCTCTCAACACCACCAAAGATACCAGAAAATACCTGGAAGTCTGACAAACAAACTTGGATTGTTCTTTTTCTAGGTAGTAACCGAGCGAGCCGCTAGATGTCCCCTCAGCATCAGGCTTCGTGGTGCCAGCTACGGGAAAGCTATGGGACAGCATCGGAGAATCAAAGCATGGTTCTGGTCAACCTCTTTTTCTCCAAATTCATATTTTTAATGTTGTATTTACTATCATTCCTGTGCTCAGACCTGCCTAGGAAGCCTAGAGACTCATGAAAAATGGTTGTTTGCAGCCACAGCTGCAGCACAGGCTTTGTGGCTCGCTCTGTTCTCAGTGACTACTTCAGTAGCCAAACGGCATGAAACTGTCCTGTATACTTGCAGGCACTGTTCATCCCATCAACCTCTCCTAATCAGAAGGTATTTCCCAATAACAATCAGGGAATTTTATGTCACAAACTTAAATTGCCTGAATATTTCTCCTCGTAACTCTGCCAGCTCTCAGGATATTGCAGTGACTAAATCACAACTGACCCAGACTAAGTGATCTGTGGAAGTTAGAACTTGTATAACACAGAAAGTAAACACGTTACATTTTTCAAAGGATGTACACATCAAAAGATTCTACACTTAAATTTACATTCCTACACACACAAATTGTAATATATACGCTGTAGGAACAAATGTCTTTACATTGATGTTTTACTGTAGCCACCAGACAAGATAAATTACCTGGCTGTAAATGGAGCGTTCTAGCAGTTATTCTGAACTGTGTTCATACATGCTTAGTTTCTTTAGATTCCTTTTCATTGTTTTTCCCCACGTGTACCTGAACATAGTTAGGATTCTTCACGGAGTTTTTTGGAAGTATCTGATGAGCAACTGTTGAGATTGGATGGAAACCATCAGCAGCATCAAGAAACTCCTGGCATATGGGTAGCATGTAAGTACACCTTTAGTACAGAGTAAAAGCGGGCTAAGTATTCGTTATTGATGTGCTCTGTGAATGTGCTATGGGGATATTGCAGAATAGCAAAACTTGTTTTTTCTCTAAAAACAAAAACAAACAAACAAAAAAAAAAAAAACACAGAGCACAAAAGCACAGTCATAAGGGCAGTAACCTCACCTTTCAGGTTGTGGTTCTACAGCTACTAAGCAAAGTAAACCTGGGGATAGAAACTGCAAGCCAGGCAAGCTCATAACAGAAAAGCAGAGATGATCCAAGAAATCATTTTACAGTTTAAATACTGAAATTAGAAGTCAATTCATAGCTGAAGTACAAAATAATGCCTCAAACTGACGTTTAAATAAGGCTCCTGTGTCTGTGGGCAGAGGATGTGTGCAGGGTGGGGGGTGGAGGTCGCAGGCGAGGATGGTCAGGGCCATTCAGGTTTATCAGCTCTTCATCAGGTGTTAATCAGACCCCTGTGGGCCCTGATAGGGCACTAAAGAGAACCGAGGTCCCCTGCTGTGTGTCTGAATGAGCTGGTACGTTGTGACTGTAGAAAGGAAACAGCTGTAATGGTGATGGCCTGAGGGAAAGGCGTGTCCTCTTCCTTTCCTGGTGCTGTTTCAGTTCCAGCGTATAGAGGTTGTAAGCAACACCTACCTTCCATGTTTTGGATGTGGATAATCTGAGTAGAATTGTAAAAATAGAAGGGAAGCAGCTGTAGGGATGATAACCATGGGGGGGAAAGGTGGGTCCTCTTCCTTTTATGTTCCAGAAGTTAGAAATACTTATACTTACTTTGCAAGCTGTGATTTTCCTTGATTTGCATGAGGAAACACGAAGATTGGGGATTTACGTTAAACTGTAGTTGAGGGGTTTGTTTTAGCTTTCTTGGTTGCTTAATGATTTGGAAGGTAGCTGTTTTGAAGTTGTTTTTCTTATTGGGTTTTTGTTTAAAGGAATTGCTTGGGCTTGGGATGTAGTGTGAGCAATGCTCCGAATCGCAGTAACAGATATAAACATAGAATTTACAGGAATATGCCTGTATTCAGATAACAGATCTGAATGGTTTTGTTCCTAGTGCAGCCAGGGGAAAACTCCTACTGGTTTCTGTATTGCTCTGCTTTGCATTGTGTAAATTAGGTAATGGGGAGTAAATAATCGGTTTTCTAAGTGTTATTTTGAACTGTTCTTTTGAGGCTGGAACCTGCTAAGCCTTCTCACATCATGCTGTAGCATAAAGGGCTCTTAATGCTCCCATCGTTGTTAATTACATCAGTAATTAAGGACGAATCAAGCTGCAGGCTCTGCTGTTTTGAGCACTGCACAAACAGAGCAGTGCTGTAAGTGGCAGTCTGTGTCTTGGAGACCTTCAGACTAAATAACAAAAACGGGAGGGGAAAAAAATCTACCAGAAATATCTGGAATGCAATTTACTTGGCTTTTCCCTTGAGCTCAATCCACACGAATCTTAATTTATTCACAGGTTTTTGGTGTTGTTGGTTCTGATGTGCCATCCTAATACAGAACTTGCATTTCTGGCCTGTACCGTTCAATAACCAGTTATGTGTTTCTTGTCTTTCTCTGGGGACAGGTTTCCCTGCCCGTGCTGGTGTAACAGGTTTGCCTTGTTCCCCTCCCAGGTCTTTGTGCAAAAGGAAATTCCACTGCAAATTCACCTCAGATGATACCAGTGCTGCTTTCGCTTGGACTCTGTGCGTTCTTTTTGTTCAAGTATTTATGAATTAAGGTCTCAAACAGTTGTGATGCAATTATGTTCACTGGTTTTGTAATGCATTCCGGGTGGACATAAGGCTAAGAGGCTCCTGGTGTCCCTCTGCTGAGAGCCTGTGGAGGTAGAAGCCCTTGGGACGCTGCAGTTGTGCTTCAGGCAGGCTCAGATATTCAAATACGTTGGCAACAGCAGGAAGTATTCTGTGCAATGAGTTGATCAGCGTCTCTTAGTTGTGATGCAGTCTTTAAAGATATTAACGTTTAATGGTGAGCAAAAGCGGTGCCTGCTCTGTGCCTCGCTTCAAGGGTAGTAGCACTCTGCTCCCATATTCAAACCAATGCGGATAAAATGAAATGCAGTGCGTTATTAGCATCGTGCTCGTCTTCACTGTTGTTATAAATGTTGGAATCACTTCAGTTATCCTTCTATTGTTTTTTTTTCTCCTCATGCAGATTGATATCCACATGCTGTCCAGTGTAAGTGCATGAGTCCAGGGGAGGTAATGCATGCAGCAGCTGTGCAGTTATCAGAAAGATCCCAGCCCTCTCTGAGCACATTCTGTCCTCCTCAGGTGAATAAATGTGCTTTCCCCTTTCTACACATATGTGGAGGGGTTAGGGTTTACAGATGCAGCAAAGACAGGAATCTGAAGGGCTTTTTGCCTTTCTTGTAGCTGAAAAGCAGAAGTATAAAATCAGATTAGGTGACGCAGCTCAAATAAATGCTGTTGCAAAGGAAGACGAGCACAAAATAAATCTTATTTCTCCAGCGAGGAAACAAGCTGATTTCTGCAAGGCCTGCGTGACTGCTGCTGTGCCCCACGTCGGCTGCAGGCAGGTAACTCGATTATTTTCCTGCCCGCGTGCTGCTGACGGATGGCAGGATCGATGTTTCTGAACGCGGCTGTGTTGGGGTGCGCGTGTTTGGGGCGCGAGGTGACGGAGGCAGCTCCTCCCTGCAGGGTGTGGGCTTCCTTATTCATCGGGGCGGCTGCCCCCGTACAAATCTCCAAAGCAGGAACGTTTGCTTGGAAATCAAATAACAAAATCCGCGCTTCGTACTGTGAGGAAGCGGGAAGAAAGGGAGCAGGGCGGGCACGCCGCTCCGGGGCGAGGAGCGCCCATCGCCTCGCGGTGCCCAGCGGGGGGCGGCGCGCTCCCGCCGCTCCCAGAGGACGTGGGGGGCGCGCAGCCGGCGGCCGCGCATGCGCAGTGCGCTCTTCGCCCCCCTTTTAACGGCCGCGGGGCGCGCGTGCGCAGTGCGCCAGAGCTGTCAAGCGCTCCCCCTCCCACCCCGCTCCGCCGCCGCCTCTCCGCGCGGCGCCGCTCGGGCCATTTTGCGGCGCGATGAGGTGGGAGCGGTGGTGAGCAGCGCCCGTCCCGCTCTTCGCGCGTCCCGCTCTTCGCCCTCGCCTCGGCGCCGGGATCCGAGCCGGTTCTTCGCGTGCGGGGAGAGAAAGGGAAGGAAGCCTCACCGAGGGGCAGCGACCCCCGCCCGCCCTCCGCTCGGCGCCGGCGGAGCCATGAGCTGGGGCACGGAGCTGTGGGTGAGCCGGGGGGAGAGGGGTGGGGAGCGTGCCGGGACCGCGCGGAAATTACCGATAAAACGAACGAGCCCCGGGCGCGCAGCCGCCCCGCGGAACGAAGGAATGTCGGGCTGCTGCTTTATTTTTTCGGCGTGTGAGCGGTTCGCAGGTGGGTCCGATTTCAGGAGGGAGCGGCGGTGCGGGGCGGACCGCGGGGAGCGGAGCGGAGCGGGCGGTGTTGCCGGACTGGGTGCTGGGCTGGGTGCGGAGTTGAGAGAGGCAGAAGGGAAACACGGGCTCGGTCACAAAGAGGACGCGGTGCAGCCATGTTTGGCAGCGGGGCGAACCGCCATGGCGCTGCGGGACCCGGTTTTGGGCTGTCTGTAGGCACGGCCGTGTTATCTGTGCTAATCGCAGCCCTGCCCGCTCGGGTAGACAGTTGAACGAGCGTCCCGCTTGGCTGTGACGTCGTAGTGGTGTTATAGTTAGAAATACACGGCGACCTGAGCACGGGATGCTTGCTGAGGGTCATCCTGCGTTTGTCCGCGGTGCTACAGAATGATGGAGTGCCGTAGCGGTGCTGCTTTGATTCGTTTATTCAAACAGCTCTGCTGCACGGGGAGATCTGCAGCTGGCATTGCTTTCTGCACCCTGCATGCTCTGTGGGGAGGTTAAGCAGTCTGAACGACTCGCTGTAAATCGTTCTGATGCAGAAGAATAAATGTGGAATTCTCGAGGTGGGCTGAGCGTCTGCTTTTGCCTTCTTAGCGGTATAGGCGATGCTGAGATGTTTCTGCACAAGATCGAGGGAAGAAGTGCTTATCCGTGGTTCGTTGTAATCTCTGCAGGTGTGTGCAGTTGTGTGTCTGTAACGATTTTTTTTCCCTAAAGTTTAACTGGTGAAATCTTGTCTTTGCTATCTGAGGCACCAACATCTCTTGTGTCCTCAGTATAGCTTGAGAAGTGTAGCAGGTTAATGAGGAGAAAACACAGCAACCAGGTGCAGTGAGGCTGGATACCACACTGGTAGGACTCGTTGTGTGCTACGTTGGGCACAGCTTTGTCGATGAATTGCTTTCCAGTGCTGTGGGTATCTGGGACAGAATGCTGGCATCCCTCTCTGAGTCCCCCTCCCTTTACTGAGGAAAAGAACCACACAACCAGCTTGGATTTAATGCGTGCCACCACCTTTGGTTGATCCCGGTGTTTCTTAAACAAAATTGGATTTCTATTAGCCTTAAAACTTAGTATTTGTTTTAGGTAGTCATGTGTTGGCTGTACAAACAGGTGTCATGAATTAAAAATGCCCGTTGTAGGGTGTGACTGGTGTAGGATTGGCTGTGGCCTTTGTTGGATGGAGTGGAAGTTGGGGTGTTAACAGGTGTTTCTAATTGTCGTTTAGGAACTTAATGTCTGTTGTTTCACCAGGGTTGTGTTGCAGGGTGAGGTGCCCATCTGCCGGGCTGAGTGCGTGCTCACCGGTCACTCCTGCAGTGTAACAAAGGAGAAGCAAAATCAGAGTTGCTCTTTAGAGAAAGTAGAATGTTAACGTGCATGGATTTCTGTTTGTTCCTATGGGGGGAAGCTTCCTTCTGAGGCTTGCAGAAAGAAGCCTCAGAAGCAATGAAATCCATTTGGCAAAATGTAAGTGACTCCCAAGAGAGTGCTGTAGCCCTGTGCTGTGTTGTGAGGATATTTTGTTTCTCCGGGTTGCAAATTGTATTGCAAAATTCCTAATCCTATTTCATTCGACTCTAGACTTCTGTTCTGAATTTCATTTATGAGCTTCACCCATAACCAGCAGAATTATTAGAGGTACCAGGGCAGCATTTGGATCCAGTGTGAGGATAAATGCTCAGGATGATGAGATCATCTGTGGCCTCCCAGCAGTCGGGTGTCACAGAGCAAAGCCTGAAGGTCTCATATAACAGCATGAGTTGTCTGTGTGTGTGGCAGTGGCTGGAGCTGCTGTGCTGCTCAGTGTGCCCACAGCCTGCACAGCTTTCTGCCCATTGCACTGAAAACATATGGAATCCAGGGGGAGGAGTGGTGGGTGAAGGGCGAAGTATGGTCATAGGACTGAAACCTTTTGTTTTCTGCTCCAGTTCAAGAGTAGCTGTAAGGGCTGGCAGCTGGGGGTTGGAAGACTGGTTTTGTGTTTGATTCTTGTAATTTGCAGTGTTTTCTAGATGTTTATGTTAACATGGCAAGTAAAGATTATGTATGGGTGGGTACATAGGTGCAACTTGTAGCTTCAGTTAGCCGCACTTTGGGGTCTGCAGGCTCTGAAAGCATTCTCAGATCTTTCTCCCTCTTTTTAGGTACTAAGAACAGGGATACCAGAGTGTCACACACAGCTACTCTGGAGGGTGCTTTAGCTAGTAAAGTGCTACTGTATTCTCCTGGGCTTCCCAGCAGGGTTCTTTCCTGTGGGATGAAGTGAGTGGTAGGAAATACGTAGCAAGTTAAAACTAACCTTAGTGCTTCACTCCTTCAGTGGGAAGTGATGTGGCTGTGAGTTGAAGGGAATTAAGTTTCCTGATGATAAGTTTTGATACAGTTTGCAATGTAGAGGAGGTATGTGTAAACTTGTGCTGAAGTGGTCCAGGAGAACCTGTGGCTCCTTCGAGTGCTGTCACAGCACAGCAAGTGCAGGCAGTGATGTCATTAAACGTGAGAAGGTTTATCCTTGTTATGAGCGTTTCAGAGATGCAGGTGCTGTAAGGTGATGGGTTCCTCTCCCCCTTCCCTCTCTGTCCAATATAAAGTTAATAATAATAAAAAAAGATGAAGTGGGGGGGATGTGATTGAATTGGTTTTCTTTGACCTTTGTGTGGCTGGGTGTCTGCTAACAGCTGTCACTGTCCTTTCAGTCCAGAGAAGGTGAGTATTTCTGTTTGCAAAGGGCTGAACTTGCTGCCCTTGTGCAAGGAGCAGTGTTGGCCAACTCCTCACATGATGGGTACTTTGGGGAATGTCCTTTTGTTTGCACTGTTCCAGTATGCTTCAGTATGGAAAAAAATTACAGCTTGGCTACTTTTGCTGTCTAAAGTCATACGATTTAGAAGATGATGTTCTTTTCCACATTAATAGTAACATCTTCATTCATGGTATGGAAATAAGTGGATTCCTGCAAACCCTGTTTCTGTGAGCTGTTCTTCCTTGTCAGACAATGGAACAGAGGTGCAGCTCTGAGAACTCAATGCTTCCTGCGTGGAACTGATGGATCTTTCCACTCTCAGTCCTTGCATGCCTAATTCACCGGCAGCATTTGTGTTCCAGCAGCTGTGATCCTGCATTTTCATTGAATGTAGTATTGTTCTCTAGTGGCATTGTAATATTTATGGCACGTAGGTGATGCTTAAAGTGATGAGTCACAGTCTGAATCTGTCTGGAGTTCTCAGGGTTGTGACCTCGATGGCATCACAAAGCAGTTATCTGGGCACTGCAGTCAAACGTCATCTTAAATTTTAAGTGAAGGCTCTGCTCTTGTCAGCATGTTCCCTGTAAGAGGCTCTGCAGGGCTGCATCTATGTTTGAGCTGTTAACTTTTTTTCCCCCTCAATCCAGTTTCGTTGCAAACACCCATAGAGTTGGGTGCAGGAAATGAAAATCTGTCTCGTGGTTCCCTGGCTACCAGAGCTCTTGGGTTTGGCTGTTAACCCATTATACTCTCTGAGTGAAAGGAAAAGCATCCTTAGTGACAGGACAAGGAGTCGTACTGCCTGCTAAATCACTGATTATCTCTGACATCTGAGAGTTTTCTTCATAAGGTCGTGGAGCTTCCCTTGGAAGGCTGCTGGATGCGGGGTGGAAAATCTGTGGCGATGGCAAACGTTTTCCTGAGCAGTGAGTTTTATTGTGAGCTGACTGTTCCAACGTATTTGACATCATTCAGACAACCAGAGGCAGAAATTTCGTGTCTCCTTGCTCTCTTTGTATTTCAGTAGACATTTTTTTTCCTATTTAGCAACTTGTTAATTAAAACATCTTACAGTTGGAAGAGGCTGAATTTCACCTGTAGAAGCGGCTGGGTGACAGCATAGGGCACCCTGAAAGTAAATAGGTTGGAAAATAAAAATGAGGTCAGTGCAAAATCATCATGTTTATAATTTGGGCTTCCAGGCACTGCGAGTAGAGCAGCTCTGTTTGGGTTTCTGAGGAACCTACTGGGTCTTGGGTGTGTGAATATCTGAGTAATTTCATTTACAATTCTGCTTTGCTTTAAGAAAGGATTGCTACAATTCTGTCACGGCCTCCTCTTGTATTTTCTACCCATTCATTAAGGAACAGATTTGCAATCCTTCAGCATGAGTCAAAGCTGCAAATGTCTTTTTGTTGCTCCTTCTTTCCCCTTCTAGTCACTGAATCTTCCCATTTGCAGCACAGCCACCCCAGCTCCCTTCAACCATGTGGGAAGGCAGGCAAAGATGAGGCAATGTTTTTCTGGACTCCTTGCAGCTCATTAGTGTTACTCATGTTGTGAAACATTCCTTTAAAGCAGGATTTCAAAAGCCATGCTCCACATGAGAGTAGGAGCCACTGCTGGACTGTAATGTAATAATGTAATAATGCACTTTATTGCCTTTGTTGTTGATTGCTGGAAAGGTAACCTGCTAATGAATTTTTGGAAACTCACTTTTAACCTGTCTGAAATAATGCTTCTGACATCAGTTATGCATTGAATCTGATCCAGCTACCCAAATGCAATGCTCTGTTAAGTTTCCTTAGCCTTCATATAAATATTTTAAAATAACTTCCCCCTTCAACGTAACCTTACGTTTCTCAGATGAAACATCTCTACTTCCTTCCATCCTTGGCAACCCTGCTTTTCTTTTTCACGCTTTTTATTTTAGCACTGAGTTTGTTAGGTTGGTGAGAGGAAAAACACTGTTGTCTCTTGACGTACTGCAGTCTTTGTTCTTTGCAAGCGATGGCTTTGGCTTTGAAATAGAAAATGGAGAAGAAGTAGTGTGCGTGTCTAGATGGGGTTTCTAGATTACTTGTAGTATAGAGCAGTG